CTATTTGCTGCCTTACCAATGCATTTGGATCAATCTGAGCACCAACTATATCTCTTTTAGAGGATCGATCACCTCCGCTAGCAGATCCCTTTGTGTCACCATGTCAAAAAATTACAACTTATTGCCTGAATTAGTAATGAACAAAATAAGGAACAATAGTAATTCCGGCAAGAAATTGGCTCAAATACCTCCAACTGAGAAACCACAATTATTTCCCAAAATCAACCGAGCAAAATTGAAAAGAAAAAAAAATGGTGTCAGTTTAAATTCTAATGATTATGCAAAGTAACAGAAAATCAGATAAGAATAAAAGCTAATCCTTGGTTCAATTGCAGAGAAAATTAAACAAACAAAACCTCCAGCCGACAGTGGCTATTACAATAAATGGCTTCAGAGAATTGAGTTCTTAAAATGTTTAGAAATCATGATTCTAAACATATGCAGAACCAATACAAAATCAAAGATAGAGACAATTATACCTCCCGGTACCTAGTTAGATACACTTTAAGCGAAGCAATGTAATCTTCAAACCCAAAAGTAGCCATTGCACAAAGCAAATCATCACCATTGATCGTCTTCCTCTTCTCTTTCTGACACTTATCACTCGCCCTATTTGCAAAAACCTCGAATCACATTTCACAAAACACGATCCTAAAGCATGAAATCCTAATATAGCAAATACATAAACGTGAATAGAAAGAGAAGAATATCTATTTCACATTTAAAATGTAGAGCACTAAAGCAAATTGGCTGTTAAAGGCACGGTGTAGAATATCTAAATCTATATTCAAATGTAGTATATTTTAGTGCTCTACATATGTGCTCTACATTTTAGTGTTAACAGCCAATTTGCTTTTTATTTTTTTATTTTTTTGACAACATCTTTTCTTTTTGTTGAGGTAGGAAAATGAATATCTATTAGACAAAAAAGTGAGTGTGAATATTTACTATTACCAATTTGGTATCCATATATTTATTATGATGTCAGATTGAAATTAGGACATGAAAATGTAGTCTGATAAGGGGAGGGGAAAAGATGTTAAATAAAAAATCAAATCTCTATTACACCCTTTGTTACTTGTCACTAAGTAGATTGATGATGGAAGGAAATGAAGTTTGTACAAAGTGCTATATGTGTATCAGTCTTACAATCCCTCCAGAAATTGTAGTATACACAGATATAAATGCAGAATATGGATGATCAAGTATATTGCAGATATAAATGTAGTATACACAGATTTATTATGGATGATCAAGTATAAATGCAGAATATGTAGATAAAAGATATCTATCTATTTGGGATGATCAAGTCGGAGCTTGAAATGTAGATGTTATTTAAGTTCTTTAATGAATTTGGATCCATACCTGTTATATTAGCAACCTATATATATGTTTGCATATAAAATTTACTAAAATTAAAAACAGAAGAAAAATACCAAAAAAATGGGAGCCAAACAGGGGTAGTTAATATCAATATGCTTCAAGGATTATATAGAAGCTTAGCTTGTTTTTGGCTAATATTTTAAGACATGACTGTCTCATACCAGTATACTAATAACTCTAATAACTCTTGGCTTAGATTGTTCTTGTTTTTGACTAATATGTTATCCATGTGTGTGTGTTCTTAGATCTTCCGACTCGTATAGAGACCTAATTATAGAAGTATAGTGGTCTGCTGAATATTTTCTAATACAAATACATATGAACACACACACATGGATAACATATGAGAACCAAAGTTTACAAAGGAGTCACTAAGGCTGACTGCTACCAGAACCAATGATTGGAACATGAGATTTAGTTAGTAGATCTGTAATTTCAACAAGTGCAATTTCAATTATGTCGAATATAGTAGTTACAATGTACTCTTTGCCTAATTTTTTTTCCTAGCACAAATAATGCAACTTTTAACTCAAAAATTACAGGGTCTTTTATATTGCAGGAAATAGATAGAAGAAGCATCAAAGCATATGTCTATAAGGAACACTTGCAGAAGTATTACAAAGAGCCAATTATATTAGCAACCTATATATATGTTTGTATATAAAATTTACTAAAATTAAAAACAGAAGAAAAATACCAAAAAAATGGGAGCCAAACAGGGATAGTTAATATCAATATGCTTCAAGGATTATATAGAAGCTTAGCTTGCTTTTGGCTAATATTTTATGACATGACTGTCTTATACCAGTATACTAATAACTCTATACCAGTATACTAATAACTCTAATAACTCTTAGCTTAGCTTGTTCTTGTTTTTGGCTAATATGTTATCCATGTGTGTGTGTTCTTAGATTTTCCGACTCGTATAGAGACCTAATTATAGAAGTATAATGGTTTGTTGAATCAAAGATGAGAGATTTTCTTCAATTTACGTTTTGGACCGTTAGATCTCGGTTGATGCTCAAAGAGCATTTGGGCGGGAAATAAAGACATCTCAACATTGAAGTTGAGATGAGACAATTTAAACCATTGGATCAAAATGTATCTCTATGACATTTTATATATTTTCAAAAACCTTCTTCCCTTATTATATAGATTTCTTATCGTATTTTCTCATCTCTAAACACAGTAATTGGGTCTCAAGTGAGAAAATAAGATAACAAATGAGATTACATGTAACATTATCTGCATTCATTCGATTCAAATCAGATTATATTAAGAAACTTATATTAAGAACACTATAGCCGATACTGTCAATGAAAAGCCGATACTGTAGCCTCCAGTATCATGAGATGCATCAGAATCAAGGTTCCAATTTATCTCTGCCATTGACTTTGGTGTGTTCATGTCACTTTGTTGTGAGGATTTTGATTCTAGAAGCTCTCCAACAATAACATGTTTCTCTGAACATTTATATGGTCAAACTTAAATTCAACAAAAGGGAAAAGAATACCCAAAACTAAAGGGAAAAGAATACCCGAATATCCGAACAACAGCATCCAAAATCGAATTAAGAAGTTCCTTTGCTACAGCCTGTGCTGTTCCAATGGGAGCCATCACAGGTGAGACAGGGCTGACAGCTAATAGCGTTCCAGCCAATGATATTCCATTCTGTCGCTCTCCAAATAGTAGCTCTGTGAGACACTCATATTCTGTCGCTCTCCAATAGCGTTCCAGCATCCAATGATATTCCAGCCAATTGGCAACTGGTAGCTCTCCAGATGCCCTTTCAAATAATGCGGCCTGACCAATGCCAGCCCTTCAGCAACTAAAGTGCTCTGCATAACCTTTGATCTTGCCAGTGATAATGTCGTGAATTGTGGGACGCAATCTTTGGCTGTTACAAAGGAAAATCAAGGACGTAAAAAGATCATCCTAAAATACAAATCAGATACAAACTTATATTAAGAACACTATAAAAAATACATGTGAGACACTCATATATAACTCAACAAATCAAGAATATAATACAAAGAAAATTACACATGCAAACTATATTCACAATGGTAGCCAAATCATGTTTTCTATGATTAGTGAAATATGCAACTCACTGCATGTCTGCCAGGGGGCGGGAATGAAGAAGTAAAAACTGCTTCAATATAAACCAAACGATTAAATACCTATTTGCCCCAATCTATCACAGAAGCTGAAATTGAATGACAAAAATAGGAGTTAAAAATATGTTCCACTGATTAAATACCTATTTACCCCAATCTACCACAGAAGCTGTGGGAGTTACACTTACGGATTCAAGAAATTCATTCACGATAGAGAGAGAGTTCGAGGTTTTAGTTATGTATTCAAACAATTAGTAGCAACTAACTTGCGCATTATTCAGGGGAGCAATAATTCAGAAATCATAAAATCAAGATTCCTTACTTTGATGAAGAATCAAGAAAAGTTCCACACATTTGATTTGAGGGAATAATAATTCAATAATCTTGCAACAATGATAATTTATAATAGAAACTCCAAACATAATGAAAAGAATGTTAACTGAACAATCAAAAGAGATCCACACCCAAAAGTGATTTCACTTTATTGCTCTGCAAATGCCCAACAAAATGCCACTCAATGTCTTCATGAAACTGCAAAATGTTCAACAATTTCAATATCAAGCATCTTCTTACTCCACACAATCTCAATTCCAAAACAAACTTCTAGAGAGAGAGAGAGAGAGAACCTGAGGTGCTTTTTCGATGATCTCTTGGACATAGTTCTCGCCGAAACAGCGATGACCAGAGTCGTAGACTTGGCGGATGAGAGAGATGGGCTTGGTTTTGCTCACTGCAACCACCCTCACATCATCGGCTATGCGGCCTGATCTCTCAGCAGCCTGGCGGACTCGGTGGAGCACCGCTCGCAGAGCCGTCGAGGCCGCACCCTCCATGGCGGTAGCAGCCATCATCACCATTCTTTTGATTTCTCTATCTTTTCTGGTGGTTCGGAGTCACTCTCCGACAAATGTGGAATCTCCTTCACCCGATAGAGAGAGAGTTCGAGAGCAGCGCCAAAGCATCGAACAGGGAAAAAGAAATCGAAACAGAGGGAGAGTGGAGAGATAGAAATCGAGGAAATCTTACCTTGCAAGCCGAGCGATGAGGGAGGGTTGTAAGGGGAGGAGTGAGCAGCGTCAGTATGAAGAGGGAAGAAGAAGATCAGAGAGGGCGAGAGAGGTAAAGAGGAAATAGGGAGAAGACGTGGCTGAGAACAGAGTGGGAGAGAGAGAGAGAGAGAGATGGGTAGGTGGAAGGCTGAGGGAGAGATGTTTAAGCGGGAATCACATTGTCCTTTATTATGATCTGTACCATTAATATATTCTTAGAACTGATCTTGGCCATTGGATCAAAATGTATCTCACATACATTTTGATACATTTTTCAAAAACCTTTGTGCCTTATTATATAGATAGTTTGAAAATTGTAATAGTGTAATTGTTGATTTTTTAATTATGATATATTTGACATAAATTTTTAAATATGGTTTTAAATAAGAGAAATTAAAAATACTATTGCCCTATTTCAATGGCAAAGTTGTCAATTTGATAAAATATAAATTAGTTAGAGAAAAATAAATGTGAAAAAAATATTTTTGTATTTTTAAAAATTATTTCTACCTACCAAATATAAAATTATATAAAAATAATAAATCTTTTATATTTTTTTAATATTTTTTTACTAAATTAATTTTTAGTATGTGTTTGGATGATAATCATGTAATGAGCTGTTATTTTTGTTCTTTTTATTTTTATTTTTTTATTTATATAGTTATTTATTGTTAATAGATATTTTTGTATGGTTATCATGTAATGGATTGTTATTATGATTTTGATGTGTAATCGATATATTTAATATATGAAATATTTTTAGTTTTGGAATTTTTGATTTAATAAATTGATTTAATAATGACATCAAAGTTGTTGCAATGTTTGACTTTTGAAAAAATAGAAACTATTTAATGAAAATAAATATAAAAAAAATTATTGTAAAAAATAATTTTTACCCTCTCAAAAGATAAAATTATATAAGAATGATGTGTTTTTAATTTTTTTTTACCAATTTAACTTTAGTTTCATAAAAAAAAAAATTGAAAATAAACTTTG